GGTCTTAAGACACGAAACGATCGGTCTGTGCAAGAAACTGAACAGTATTTATATCATTTTTTACCTCTGATCCACCGCAATGTCCAACTGTTCTGAGCGTGTTCACAACATCCGGCGCGTGACGTCAAATAAATACGGTTGGGCAAAAAATTCCATGTTGTCTGATGATATATCAAAATCGTCTTCCATTGTGATTACCTGTACTTCTAAATATCTTTAGATCATCGCAGTGCCAGTGGACACATCCGCAATCTCTCTGCACTGTGTAAATAATGCTACTGGCATCTACTATGCCAGAGCACGTACACGCGTCACGCGCCGGATGTTGTGAACGCACTCAGACATTGCGGTGGATCAGAGGTAAAAAATGATATAAATGCTGTTCAGTTTCTTGCACAGACCGATCGTTTCATGTCTTAAGACCTCAATGCATCATCACGAGCCGCAGGGTTTAATTTGGTTTTGTCTGTGTATGTTTTTTTTACTCTCAAAGCCGTGGAGCCCATTGACTGCCATTGTAAGACTGATAGACTGCAACGGTTTGAGTTAAAAATCTTCGTTTGTGTTCTACTGAAGAAACAAAGTCACCTACATCTTGGATGCCCTGGGGATAAGCAGATAAACATCAAATTTTCATTTTTGGGTGAACTATCTCTTTAACAACAATGGCTCTACAGTAAATCTCTCGTTTCCTTCCCCTCTGCAGTTTGTCAGTATCTAATGGCGGTAGGAACTGGCAGGCCATGCACACCTCTGACCCCAGCGGCCCGAGGAAGTATTACATCAATATATGCCGGCCACTTAAAGCCGTGTCTGGCTGTGACAGGAAAGCTTCTGTCTGTGAGGTGAAATTCGAGGTTGACAAAGTTAGTTCACTCTCTGTAAACACTCAAATGACTTGGTAATATGAAATAAAATGTAACAAAAAACAAACTGCACCACTGACAACAAATGTGTGTGTACATGTTACTCAAACAGGAAGGCCTGTCTGAGAAGGTAGAAGTCAGTAACTTAGGCATTGCTATGAAGGGGCCAGTGATTGTGGAAGAGAACCAGCTAATGTTGGAGTACACTAATGGCTCAGTGTGTCAAGCAGATGGAGCGATGACCACTTACAGAACTCGTATCCACTTTGTCTGCTCATCTGGGACAGCAGTGAGTCAATACTGCCCTTTTACTCATTCTTATTGTTGCGATAAGGCTTATTTAAAATTATATTTATAAATCAGTGACTTGAACAATATGAGAACAATGTTTTTTCTTTAGCCATCCGGTCCTCGCTTTTTGGTGAACCAGAATTGCACCGTTGACTTTGTTTGGGACACAGAAGCAGCCTGCGCCATCTCAACCGTTGAGGCCACCAACCAGGTCCACTTTCATTTTTGCACAAATTCACTGACTTTGATGGAATCGTGAAGATTTATTTTCTTACTTCTCTTGTTATTTATCTACAGACCTGCTCAGTGAAAGATCCCAACACTGGCTTTGAGTTCAACCTGCAACCACTTGCTTCTGAAAGCGGATACCACGTCAATGCCCATGGGAAAGACTTTGTCGTAAGAAGCACTTTAAAATCTTTCAGATGCTCTTGAGTAGGGTATGGATCGATACAGAAGGCAATTTTAGTATGATACTAGCTTCTGGTACATAAGTAAAAACATAAAAACAGCCTTGGATGACTAATGAAATGAAACTGAGACTCTCAGATTCAGTAGCTCATCGTCACATCTATCTATCTATCTATCTATCTATCTATCTGGGGTGTAACGATACACGTATTCATATTGAACCATTCGGTACGAGCCTTTCGGTTCGGTACGCATTACAAACCGAACGATTCATCGGAGTAATCCGATTACATTTGGGGAAAAAAAGAGCTTAAAGTGTGTGAAATATAATGCTTGTTCGCATTTTACTTTCACTTTCAAACTAGCGGCATTTCGGCGTCAATTGATTGAATTGGCAACAGCAAAACAGTACGACAAACTCACTTACATTAAACATAGAATGTTTTATTTATCAACAAAACGAATACAAATACACCATGCTATAGGCCTAATATAAAATAACAAATAACTTACACAGTTTCAATATGAAACACTGAAAATCAGCAAACACAGTGGAACCAAATAAATAAGAAACTAATGATAAAAAAGTTTCCAAAATCATCTTAGATAAACGGTAAAAGTCAAAAGGCCTTCCAAAGTCTAAAATATTTTTAAGATCATATGATACTAGTTTTAATCACTAAAAAACTAAAAATCAAGGAAATTTGTCTGGCATTTCTTTGTTTTTGCTATATCGAAAACATAACGAGCCGTGACACCCCTGTGTCCTATCGAACCGTGTATCTATCTATCTATCTATCTATCTACTTTGTCAGTAGAGAAATGTTTTCAGTTGTTTTTTTTTTTTTTTTTTTTATTTTTTTTTTTTTTTTTTTTTTTTTAAGAAAATCCTTTTTTTATTCACCAAGGATGCATTAAAATGACAAAACATTTATAATGTTAAAATAAACAGTGTTTTTCTTATCTTACTATTCATCAAAGAATCATTAAAAAATGTTTCACGGTTTCCACAAAAATTAAGCAGCACAACTGTATTCAACATAATAATAATAATAATAAATAATGTTTCTTGAGCATCAAATCAGCATATTAGAATGATTTCTGAAGGATCATGTGGCACTGAAGTAATGATGCTGAAAATTCAGCTTTGCATCAAAGGAATAAATTACATTTTAAAACATAAAAAACTAAAGTTTAAAAACTAAAGTTTAAAAAGTTACAATTTTTTTTTTAAATGTAATAATATTTCACATATTACTGTTTTTACTGTATTTTTGATCAAATAAATAAATGCAGCCTTGGTGAGCATAAGATTTTTTTTTTTTTTTAAGAAACCCTTTTTCCCCCCAAAGTTTTGAATTGAGCAGTTTGTGTATACACATTCAGTTACTTGTAGCATTCATTTGTTCTTGTAATAAACATTGTGAAATGAATGTGCCGAATAGCAGTACTTTGTTGTCTGGGTCATGTACAAAATTTACAAAATATTGTTTTTTTGGTTCCGCCGTTTTTTTTTTTTTTTTCTAAACCACAATACTTTACACTGTGCAGTCTACTCCTCAGTTTGACTCTGTTCAGTTTCTTTTTGCCCTCTTTCATATATCACGTTTAGTACAATTATACCAATTTTAAAACAAAAGTAACAGCACTCCTGTCTACTGTAGGTGAACATTTGTGATTCAGTGAAAGCGTGCGGAACTGTCAGAGATAAACCTGTGGCCGGCTGTGAGCTGGAAGATAAGAAACCTGTGAGTCAAGTTGGTATGGAACGGTCTCTCCAGTTCTCCACTGATGGCACTCTGACTCTCACGTACAAAGGGGCCTTGGACAAATCGTCAGGTGCGTAACTGAGAGGGCACCAAATTTTGATGACCAAATTTTAAATGGAAATGTATCATTGGTAGTATTGTATTTCATTGTAGCTTACATGATCATGTTAGAGTAATTGCAAGATGATGAAACTAGCACAGCTCTGTTGAAAATGGTCCAATATACAGTTTAGGATCATTATACACAAGTCTTTAAATGACCAATCAGAATGAAGTATTCTAGAGAAACTTGTATTAAGGTTATATTGTTCTGCCCCAGACTGAACCCACTTTACCCTGTTTCCCATCCTTACTATAGGTACCGAAGACACCTTCGTCATTAATTTTGTGTGTGACCAAAATGCCAACCCAGCCTCTCTGAGGCTTATACAGGAAGAGCTGGGCACAACTACACACGTAACCCACAATGTGTTTTTTGAGCTTTCCACTGCACTAGCCTGTGAACCTGCTCCTGTGGATTGCCAAGTCACCGGTAAGCTTTCCCATGCACAAAAACATGCTTTTAATGCTGAAGTGTGTCATTTCTGTGCCATTGCTGTCACCATTTTGATACCAATCTCAAGCTGATCCCTCTGTCTTGCATTTCCAGATTTGCAAGGTAGAGAATACGACTTGGGTGACCTCAGTCTGGATGACAAGTATTATGTTCCTCTGGACACCACAGATCAGGCCCGCGTTCAAAAGTTTTACATCAACGTGTGCAAACCGCTGCCTCGCGTCCAGGGCTGCCCTGGTGAGTGTCTACAAACAGATATTGACAGACTCTTTTGAAATGTCTTCCTATTTTTAGCCTAGTACTTTGAGATAGATTTTCTCTTTGTAACACCTACCAAGGGCTGGAGGTTTAGTGCTGGTCTGAATGACAGCGCAGTAAACTAATAGACTTCTGTTGTTGGCAGCTGGAGTGATTGGAGCATGTGGCCAGCTGAAAGGCAGAGGTGTGAATCTGGGATACGTGCAGTCCAGCCTGCAGGTAGCGGCAGATGGCTCCATCAGTATTGTTTATCTGAATGGGGACAAGTGCAATTCAGGACGTTACTCCACCCGAATCGTCTTCCAATGTGATGACAGTCCTGTAAGCAAATGCATGGTTTCTCTCTTAAGTGCAAATAGATTTTTATCCGTGGCACCTTCCACAGTAAATTGGTGTCTCATTACATTTTTTGAAGTAAATTAAATTTCTTTTCAATGAAAATTATTGAATATGAATAATCCTAAGATTCACATAGTGTGATGGTATGACTGTGTTTATAGTTAAATTATTTTAAAAACCAAAAATTAATCATTATTTAGCTTCACAGGATCTATATAACCCTGTTGCTGCAAGTAAAAAATGTAATGTAACTTGGAACCAATATTTGGGGGAAATAAGTTTAAGTAGCAAATCAGCATATTAGAATGATTTTTGATGGATCATGTGACACTGAAGACTGGAGTAATGGCTGCTGAAAATTCAGCTTTGCATCACAGTAATAAATGGCATTTATAGAAACAGATAGAAAACAGTATTATTGTGAAATAATACATTTTTAAAAATCTGTTTTTACTGTATTTTTGATCAAATAAATGCAGCCTTGTTGAGCATAAGAGACTTCTTTAAAAACATTTAAAAACCTTACTGCTCCCAAACTTCTGAATGGTAATAAAATAACACGACAAAATGATTAAAAATCAGTTTCAAGCCCTATTTTGTACTGTATTTAGATGCTAAAGGTTTTTTTGTTTATGGTGAAGCTGTTGAAACCCATTTTTCTTTTCTCTGTTTAAAGGGGGCACCCATGTTTGATCGCAAAGATGGCTGTGAATATGTCTTCATCTGGAGAACCTCAGAAGCTTGCCCAATCAAAAGAGTCCAGGGTAGGATCAACAGCCAATCAGTCTCAAGAATTTGAAGAAATACTCTTACTTGGGCTTTGACTCAATTTAGTTCTTGTCACTTATAGGTGAAAACTGTAAAGTCGAGGACCCCAAGAGCGGTTACGAGTACAATCTTACACCACTGGCCGGAAAGGACTATGAAGTGAACGATTTGAGTTATGAGTATCACTTTGCAGTGTGTGGCCCAGTTACATCCTCAGTCTGCCCTCACGGTCCCAGCAACTCTGTTTCCTCCTGTCAGGTCGAGGGCAGTACACACAGAATAGCAGGTGAGTTCATTTTTTTTGTTTGGTATCAAAACTGAGCTACTCGAAAATGTACTCGCCCTCAGACAATCCAAGATGTAGATGAGTTTGTTTCTTCATCTGAACAGATGAAGAACAGAGAAATTTAACATTACATCACTTGTTCACCAATGGATCCTCTGCAGTGAATGGGTGCCGTCAGAGTCTAAACAGCTGATAAAAACATCACAGTAATCTTCAAGTAATCCACATGACTCCAGTCAACCAGTTAACATCTTGTGAAGTGAAAAGCTGCATGTTTGTTATAAACAAATCCATCATAATAATTTTTCACTTTAAACCATTGCTTATGGCTAAAATAAAAATCCTCTATCCATAATACCGCTTTTTCCAGTGACAAAGTTGTCTTGTCTGAGTAATATGCAGTCGAAAACAGTCCAAAACCATTCTTAACAAATATGTTGTTGGCTTTTGATGTGAGAGGACAACAAGGAATTGACTTTTTCACTGCAAGAAGTATTATTATGAATTGTGGAAATGCCTTAATAATGGGTTTATTACAAACACATAGCTTTTCGTTTACATGATGTTAGACTGGAGTTTTGTGGATTATTGTGATGTCTTTAACAGCCGTTTGAACTCTCATTCTGACGGCACCCATTTACTGCAGTGGATCCATTGGTGAGCAAGTGATGTAAGGCTAAATTTCTCCAAATCTGTTCTGATGAAGAAACAAACTCATCTACATCTTAGTACATGTTTAACAAATATTCATGTTTGGGTGAACTATTCATTTAACCTTTCCTATGCTCCTTTGCAGGCTTAGCCAATCAAAACCTCACATTTGATGATGGGATTATTATGATCAACTACACAAATGGGGAAAATTGCCACAAGATCTATGAGCGATCCACGGCTATTCTCTTCTCCTGCGACCACAGCAAGAATCCTGTGAGTTTCTTTCAGCCGACGAACGAGTTGATTAAGAAGTTCAATTAATTTCCTGAATGTTTCGTTTCCTTTTTGTTCTTCAGGGTAAGCCAGAGTTCATAAAGGAGACCGCAGACTGCACATACCTGTTTGAATGGCACACAGCTTTGGCCTGCCCTTCCTTCAAAACCACAACCTGCTCCTACAAGTAAGAGCAACCTTCTTAGTAATGTATTTGCTCCCAATACATAATACAACAGTCTAAATGACCTATAACCCCCTCTCTGTCTGACAGTGATGGCAATGGCCACTCCTACGATCTATCCTCACTGGCCCTGCACAAATCTAATTGGATGGTCGTGCCAGATGCGACCAATCAGAAGCAGCGTTACTATATCAATGTGTGCAAGTCTCTGGTGCCTCAGACCGGTGAGTTGTAGCAGTACAGCCGGAGTGTATTGACCGGTCTGCATAGGTGTTATAACTGGTGTTTTGTCTCAGGTTTGTGGAGCTGCCCGTCTAGCGCTGCGGCTTGTCTGAAAGACGGAGATGAGTATGTGAATCTGGGGGAGGCAGAGGCAGGTCCACAGTGGGATAAAAACATCCTGATTCTGAAGTACACCAATGGACAAGCCTGTCCTGATGGCAAGAGAAACCGGACCACCATTATTCGCTTCAAATGCGACCCAGACAGAGTGGTCTGTTTATTTATGCTTTTCTTTATACACTCACAAATGCATGTTCTAAAGTAAATATAATTACTATAGACTAACTACTGTTTATTTTTTATAACTAACTCATATTTTTCATATTTTTTTAAATAAACACGCAGTTAGTCAGTTAGATCTTTTTTTTTTTTGAAAGAAATACATTTATTCAGCAATCATACATTAAATTGATCAAAAGTGACAGTGATGAAATTTATAAAAGATTTCTATTTCAAATAAATGCTGTTCTTTTAAACTTTCTATTCATCAAACGATCCTGAAAAAAATGTATCACAGTTTTCACAATATTAAGCAGTGCAACTGTTTTCAACATTGATAATAATAAATGTTTCATGAGCAGTAAATCAGCATATTAGAATGATTTCTTAAGGATCACGTGACACTGAAGACTGGCGTAATGATGCTGAAAATTCAGCTTTGAATAACAATAATAAATTACATCTTAAAATATATTCAAATAGAAAACAGTTATTTCAAATTGTAAAAAGGGTTCACAATATTAGTGCTTTTACTGTATTTTTGATTAAATAAATGCAGCCTTGGTGAGCATAAGAAACTTTTTTCAAAAACAATTTAAAAAATCTTATCAACCTAAATGTATTTATTTTTTTAAAATAGATATATATATTCTCTTAAGTATATGCTAATATTTATAGTAATATATATCACATACTGTACAGTGTACAGTGAGCATAACGACATCCTCTCCTTGTCTGTGTCTCTGACTTTCTGTTTGTTTTTCTGCAGGATTCTGAACCTACTCTGATCACGGCACTGGAGGACTGTGTCTATAGCTTTGTGTGGTTCACTGCTGCAGCCTGTCCTCTCAATAGCACTGAACATGGGGACTGTAAAGTCACAAATCCAGCCACAGGTGAGTCAACCACATGAGCCTCAGTCACACTGAATACACAATTATTCAGAACAACTGAATCATCTTATCCAGACACTTCCTGTCTGCTCATAACGGTGTCATGTAGGTGCATGTGTCTGATGCATGCAAATAGCCTGAATAACAGCAAGGGTGTTTTTGCACACTGATCAATTGAAAGGTTCTAGCATGTATGTTTGTCCCTAAATCAATCTGAGACGTGTTGTGCTTGGTCTCCACAGGTCATCTCTTTGACCTGAATGCCGTGAGTCGGACAGGTGGCTATACGGTCTATGATCCCATGGCCCATAGGAAGATGTTCAGACTAAATGTTTGTGGAGAAATAGCCAATGCTGGTTGTGCTTCTGGAACAGGTATATTTCCTTTGTACCTTTCATTTAGTGAAAAACAGTGTGAATAGGGTATAGCACAGGTGTGCCTTAGGCTGGCCACAATAAAAGGCCACTCTACACTATACTACCGTGTATTCTTTCAAAGAATAAAGTAGTTTGGTTTGTGCTTTTTTTTTCAGTGAGGATGTAAACATTACTTGTCTTGTTTTAAAACATTTAGGCCCTAAGCAAAAAGACTTTATATGGTAATGTTGAGATGTTTTTTTTTTTTATGCTGCAGCCGTGTGCATCAAAGACACTCGGAATGTCATAAGTGGTGGGAAAACCACAAGGAAGCTGGTGTATAAGGATCAGGTGGTGGAGCTCACTTATGAGGATGGAGACGCGTGTGCCGCCGACCCTTCCTTCAAACACAAGAGCATCTTCAGCTTCGTCTGCAAGTCTGAGGGAGGAGGCACAGATGAACCCGTGCTGGTGTACTCCGATGACACCACTTGTACTCACTTTTTCTCCTGGCACACTCCTCTTGTCTGCGAACAACAGGTAAGAGGAGGTCTATAATCTTTCGATTCTCTAAACCTCGCTTCAGGTGAACCTGCAACAAATGTAGTGTCTCTTCTCTGCAGGTGAAGTGCTCCGTTTGGAACGGTACCAACCAGATTGACCTCAGTCCTCTGATCCATCTCACCGGTTACTACACAGCTATCAACGAGGATGTAGACAGGGAAAAGTCTCCTGATTTCTACATCAACATCTGCCAGCCCCTCAACCCCATCCCAGGGGTCAACTGTCCTCCAGGGGCCGCTGTGTGCATGGATCCTGTTGATGGAGATCCAGTTGTAAGTAAAAGCATCAGTACAACAATGAATTCCACTTTCTTTGATCTACAGAGCAACATTAAACATTTGTAAATGAAGAAACTAAAACAGCCATTAATTAGTATTGTCAATTTTATTGTATTGTACTGTAAAATACAATTATTATTATTATTTTTTTGTTTAATATTTATTTAGTACTTGTAGTCGTAATTATAATAATATAATATAATTATATTAATTTAATTATAATTTATTATTGTTACTATTATAATAATAATTATTATTATTATTTGTTTCCTAAATACATTTTTTATTTTACTTATTTTATTATTTTTCTTATACAGATTTTTTAGTATAATATGTCTTATTTTGTTTAGCTGTAATAATAATAATAATAATTTTATTGCTATTTATACAGTGAAGTATTTAGTATATTAGTACATATTTAATGTATATATAGTATATTATAGTATCATTTTTATTATTTTGTTCAGCAGTAGTGATACAAATAATAATATTAATAATTATTATTTTTATTGTTGCTGTTGTTGTAGTTATATTGATATATATATATATATATGTATGTAATCAGTTTCTTTTTTGTTTTGTTTTAATTTTTTTGGACAAATCACAAATAATAATATTAATAATTATTATTTTTATTGTTGCTGTTGTTGTAGTTATATTGATATATATATATGTATGTAATCAGTTTCTTTTTTGTTTTGTTTTAATTTTTTTGGACAAATCGTGCAATTTTGTAAATTATAACATTTTAAATCATCATTTTGATCAGAAATCACAATTAGAATTTCTCCCCAAATTGTGCAGCCAAAGCATTGATTATGGAAGAATTTAATGTTATCGTTATTATAATAATAACCAATATTGGAGGCTGTCTTATACTACATGCACACCTAGTCACACTACCGATGAAGAAAGTACATATTGTCAGTTTTGAGTTTGAGATATTATTCATATTATTTTGAGTCTATTTGTGCAAAATATTTTTACTAATCATACCATGGCACCAGAGGATGATATTGAATGACATGTTTGAATCTGATTTTCGTTTTTAAATTCATTGTGGGCTTGTGGGTTTTTTCCTTTCTGTGCAGGACATCGGACGAATCACCTCCCCTCCTCGCTATAACAGCAACACCAATGAGGTGGAGATCACCTTCAGCAGCACAACCGTCTGCCCTTCTAACCCCACCTCCAACTACTCCTCCAAGATCGTTTTCACCTGCCAGAAAGGAGCAGAGCTGGTAAGAGAGCAACCCAAAATCTTCATAGTGTAACTGAGTGGTTGTTGGTTTCTGTCGTACCTGAGTGTAAGTGTTGGTTCTGCACAAACAGGGTTCTCCCCAGATGATCCGAGCTCAGGACTGTATGTATGTGTTCGAGTGGGCCACTCCTGTGGTTTGTGCGGAGACCATCACGGCGCAGGGCTGCAATCTGACCGTCTCCCAGCTGCGCTACACGTTTGACCTCTCAGCGCTGTCAGGGACCATTCAGGTATTGAAGAGAGAAAGACTTTTCCAAGACTGAAGAATTAAAATTTGTGCCATCAAAGCTTTGAGGTCTATAAAATTGTTTAATGTTTCTGAAAGAAGTCACCAAGGTTCCATTTATTTGATCAAGCAAGAGTGCAGTAATATTGTGAAATATTGAATGAATGAAAGCTGAATTTTCAGCCTCATTACTTCAGTCTTCAGTGTCACATGATGCTTCAGAAATCATTCTAATATGCTGATTTACTCAAGAGACATTTCCTGTTATTATCAATGTTGAGATCAGTTGTGCTGATTAATGTTTTTGTGGAAGCTGTGATACATTTTATTTCAGAATTCTTTGAATAGCTCAAAAGAACCACTTTTATTTGAGATTGAATATGTATCATTATAAATGTCTTGGCTGTCGTGTCATCATCCTCCCTGAATAAAAGTATTTTAAAAGTATTAATTTAAAAAAATCTAGACCCCCCAAACCTTTAAATACAGAGTTCTGACATGAAACTCTAGATGGCGCAGTCTGATAGGTCTAACTCAATCTGACATAATGACATCATATTACATGGCACAGCTGATTGGTTCTCCTGTATCAGCATCCTATGAGCTTGCTGCTCAACATTCAAATACCTGGCTTTTGTTTGCTGTAGCAGTTCGCAGCTTGCTTCAGAAACCCTCCACCTTCCCCAGCTCCACCTGTATAGATCTGCTATGAGGTGATTCATG